TCACCTAGCCTTGCGACCCACGTTGGCTGTGGCGTTGTAAGGATTCCGTGGGCTGGCTGCCATGGCGGGGTCGGTCTGGTCTCGAGGGTCACATATGGCTCCTTCAGGACTTCCGGCTGCTGGGGAGGGCAGTGTCCAGCTCCCACAGGTGAGCCCAGATGGACAGGGGATGTGCCCACAGCCACGGTCATTCCCCAGTGGGAAGGAGGGACAGGACACCATGAGCAGTCCTGACAGGTATGACAGGTGTGACCCATAGCCTTGTGTCTGGGGACACTCTTTTTTTGTTTTGTTTTTGAGACAGGTTCTGGCTCTGTTGCCCAGGCTGTAGCGCAGTGGCAGCATCTCACCTCACTGCAGCCTCAGCCTCCTGGGCTCAAGCAATCCCCCACCCAGCCTCCCAAGTAGCTGGGACAACAGGCGCACACCACCATGCCCAGCTAATTAAAAAAAAAGTCTCTCCCTCTCTCTCTCTCTCCCCCCCGACCCTCTTTATTGTAGAGACAGGGTCTTGCTCTGTTGCCCTGGCTGGAGTGCTGTGGTGCAATCATGGTTCACTGCAGTCTTGAACCTCTGGACTCAAGTGACTGTTCTGCTTCTGCCTCCCAAGTAGCTGAGACCACAGGCACACACCACCACACCTGGCTCATTTTTATATTTTAGAGACAAGATCTTACTATGCTGCCCAGGCTGGCCTTGAACTCCTGGGCTAAAGGGATCCTCTTGCCTCAGTCTCCCAAAGCACTGGGATTACAGGCATGAGCCACTGTGCCCGGCCATGGGGCACATGTGTAATGGGGCGTTACTCTGTCTTTGGTCTGTGGCCTCAGGTCTGCTGGGTCACCAGTGTCCTCAGGTATATAGGGCATTGGTGGTGATCAGGCCCCATCTGCCAGACCCCAGGCCAGAAGGAGGCCTGCTGGGGACACTGTGGCAAAACCCACACACAGCCCATCCCACACTGCCCTCCACTCCTTCCTCCTCTGTCAACTGGGGGCAAGGACACTGTCCCCTTTGAGGGGCCACACCAGACCAAGCTCAGCCTGGGGCCTGCCACCCAGGAAACGGAACTCTCCGGCTGCTGCCTGGCTCTGATCCTGCATTCACAGTGGCCCCATCCTGTCCTCCCTCCCTAGGGCAGGCTCCGACACTCTGTGCCAAGGGGAAGAGCCTTTGAGGGGGCGTCTCTGCCATCATCAGGATGGAGGGAAAAGGAAGTCTGGGAGATTAGCACCAGCCCTTCAGCGTTCTTGGGTCGATTTAAACAAGAAACAGAGTCGCATGTTTCATGCTTCCCCTGAACTTTTATGAGAGTGTGCAAAGCCCCTGCAGAAACAGGGAAGACAGCAAGAAAAAGCAGTGAGACAGGCACAGCGTCTGAGCTAAGCTTGCAGCTTGTGTATGAGACGCGGGGGCAAGATTATGGTTACCGCCCCCCCCACCTAGAAACCCCCCCCCCACCACCAAGGACAGGGAAGTCAGACTGTCTTCAAAGCGTTCGGTTGTAGACGCGACATCAGGTGAAGAGACACAAAGGCACAGGAAACGAGAAAGGGTGAGGTTTGGCTGGAACCTAATCAAAGGTATGAACTTATCTGAAAAAATGCCAGGATGTCAGGAAGGAGGAGGGGTGGGGCATGGAATGGAAAAGACAGCAAGGTCAGGGCGAGGGCTGCTGGGAGGACACCTCCCTCCCATGTGGACAGACCGGCCATGCACTCCAGGGAGAAGCAGGAAGCAGGCAGGGCCAGGGCCAGGGCCCAGGCACCTCATCCTCCAGCCAGTCCCTGGGCAGTGGCCTGTGGCATCCATTCCTGGGTCCTCCCCCAAAGATTAGAATCGGCTAATCCCAGCGTGGAGCTTTTGGTTCTTCTGTGTTCGTATTTTGTCATGCCCGTGAATGGGCTGTTATTCTCGTGTACATGCCAGGCTCTGGGTAAGCTTGATTCATGTAAACTAGCTCCAGGACACGCACGCCTTCTCAGTGTGATGCCAGACCAAGCTTCTGAGCCAGGGGTCCTGCCCCACGGGGATCTGACAGGGTGAAGGCTCCGCAGATGCCCAGACGGCCACCGGGGTACTGGCCTGGTGTGCACCGTCCCAGCCACCAGCCAGGGATGTACCGTTTTCTAAGACAGTCTACACATCTGAACATCTCAAAGTCAGTATTTGAGGCGTAGTTCAGTCTGCACCCCTAGCCTGGAAGTCCTGAGCAATGTCATAATTTCTTTCTGTAACGACGGCCCCGACCTGTTAAACCTGTCTCCAAGTTGCTTCTTGAAATCTATCCGGGTGCAAACAGCAAATCTCTGCAATTACAGTTGACACTTCTCACACTGTCACACGGCCTGACCTTTTAAAACACTGGCCGGGCACCATGGCTGTCACCTGTAATCCCAGCACTTTGGGAGGCCGAGGTGGGTGGATCATCTGAGGTCAGGAGTTGAAGACCAGCCTGGCTAACATGGTGAAACCCTGTCTCTACTGAAAATAGAAAAATTAGCCAGGTGTGGTGGTGTAATCCCCGCTACTAGGGAGGCTGAGGCAGGAGAATTGCTTGAACCTGTGAAGGAGAGTGAGCCGAGATGGCACTCCAGCCTGGGGGACAGAGTGAGACTCCATCGCAAAAAAAAGGAAATAAATAAAAGATGGGCCTCACTCCTCCCGGGGCCTTGGTGCCCCGAGCTGCAGGTGGAGTCAGAGGCTCTCTCACTCGCCGTGAAGTGTTTGTGCGCGTACATATTTCGCTAAAATATTCACTCAACATTCTGTGCATGCACATTTCATAAAACAAGATATCTGTTTTTTTCATCGATCAGATTAACACAATCCTCAAGTGTGACAACATGACTTTGAAATACTGCTGCCGGGGGTGTGACCGTCACAATCCTGCTTAGCAATACCCGCTAGACCCAGAAATTGCAGGCCTGATGGCTAATACAGAAAATCATACCGCAACCTGATGAGCATTGCGTTCCTGGACCTGGTTATCCACAGCAGCACCGTAATAAAAAAGGAACATGGACACCCCAGATGCCCTGGTCAGGAAGCTCCCCGTGGAAGTTCCCCAGTGCAACAGCGGGTGGTGGAAAGGCGGGAGTGAGCAGTGTTGATGTTCTGACTTGGGGAGCGCTCCAGGACACGGGGTGAAGTGGAAAGAGGAAGGCGCTCCGAAGAGCGAAGGAGGAAAGGAGGACCACGGATGGGCACGTGCGCTTTCTTGCGGCTGCAGAGAAGTTAGGGAGGGAATCCCAGCCAACCAGGAGCCTTGCCTGTGGTGGGAGGGGGTGCCGGTGACTGCAGGGCCAGGGAGGAGGAGACTGATCCAAAGCGATTTTTACAGTGTTTGTAACCCAGAGGAAGCCACATCTCTGAGGGCAACAAGGACGGTTTGCAGAGAGGACACTGGTTGGTCTGGAAGGCAGGGGACAGCTGGACCACAGGAACGTCGCAGAGGGGGCACCTCCCCCTAGGGACCCTGCGGGGTTCACAGGTCAGGAGCCTCGGGGAGCCGGGCCAGGCGCTAGGCCCTCAGAGGGAACCTCGGCCTTGACTGGCCTCAAGGTCCGCGGCAGCTGACTCGCGTAATTAAATGGTGAGGTATTAAGTCCTAGCATTGGGCCAGGAGGAAAAAGCCACCCACGTGGGCAGACGGCCAGTCCTCCCTTGTCCGGTGCGGGCAGCCCCGGTTGCCTTGCCCTGCCACAGCTGGTTCTGCTTCCTCTACCTGCCTCTTCACAGGGGAACCAAGCTTCAGCCAAGCATCGTCGCCTGTATCAAGCCACAAGGACTGAGGAAGTGAAGGAAATGGTTTTTTTTTATTATTATTATTTTTTTTAAAGACAGAGTCTTGCTCTGTCACTAGGCTAGAGTGCAGTGGTATGATCTTGGCTCACTGCAACCTCTGTCTCCCGGGTTCATTCGATTCTCCTGCCTCAGCCTCCCGAGTAGCTGGGTCTACAGGTGTGTGCCACCAGGACTGGCTAATTATTATTTTTTTTTTGCATTTTAGTAGAGATGGGGTTTCACCAAGTTGGCCAGGATGGTCTTGATCTCTTGACCTGGTGATCCGCCTGCCTCAGCTTCCCACAGTGCTGGGATCATAAGCGTGAGCCACCATGCCCGGCTATGACTATTTTTAATCCAACATCATTCATTTGAAAATGTCTTGGTCTAAAAACATTAAAAAACAAAGCGGTTTCATTTCGTTTCTTCAATCACAGGACCCAAAAGGAAAAGCATCTCCTAATTGTGTGATGACCGCCAAGCTGGCTGCCTGGCCGTGGAGATGGCAGGGGCCAGCCAGTCCTTCGTTCCCTTGTCCAGCGAGCCCTTCTTGAGCACTTGCTGTATGCCAGGCTCTGTGCTGAGCACAAGGGGTGGAGCCTACGAAAGGTGCAGGCAAGTCGAAAGCTCAGCGGGTGAGCCACACACCGCCGCAGCGCCCGGCTTTTGCTTTCTGGGTCCCGAGACATGGTCACCCTGGTGGTTTTGGGAATGAAGGTAGCACCTATGTCCCCAGCGCCCTGCCCCGAGCCACACATCCACCCCCAGAAGTGATGGGATGCCCAGAGGAGGCCTCTCCCTCCCCTTCCTTTGAAGATTAAAAACAGGATTTTGGTTGGAAGGCAGCCCTCAGGCAGGACAGTCGGGAAGGGGTGGGGTTTCTGCACTCAGGCGGTGATGCTGTAATTCAAAGGGAGGCCTTTACCTCCCAAAGGTACCTTTCTCTTTACCCTGCACTCTGTTTCTACTTAATCCTGCCAGGGAACCTCAGCAGAAAAGCCCTGCTCCGCCCAGTGCCACGGCGTGTTTGAAAAGATTTAAGAATTGCTGAAATCTTATGGAACAAAAGCTTTCCGGACGGAAGCCCAGGCCAGGGCTCCAGGTGCACTCTCTGTCCCAGAGATCTGGGGGACCCAGAGAGAGGGGGCGTGTGGTGGGCCTGCTGTAGACCCCCGGGTTCCTGCAGGTCCTCCCCGCCCGTGGCCCGGCAGTACCTGAGCGCCTCCAGCACCGCCCTGTGCGCCTCGTCACGGTGCTTCATGCCCACCAGGCTGGTGCCCCACTGCTGCAGGATGCGCCTCTTCTCCATGCTGATGGCGTCAATCTCCGTGCAGGCCTGCAGCCAACAGGGGACGGGGCAGGGACGGCGGTCTCATTTCATCTGCCAGCAAAGCCCAAGAACACCAGAACCCGACATTCTCGCATCTGCCTCTTCTCCTTGTATTGCTGGTGCTTTCCTTTATCATGCATCCGCAGAGGGGTCAACAAGGCCCGAATGTGGCTTTCAAGAAAACCCGCACCTGCTTTCAGCCTTTGCTCAGTGCTTGGGAATGAGGAGAAGGGAAGGGAGGAAGAGGAGGGAGGAGGGGGGCGATGAAGGAGGGAGAGGAGGCGGGGGATCCTGGCCAGCATCCGTGAAACACCTGCTGCAGCCCAGACACCACGCGGGGCTAGTGGTGTCATCAATTATGGCTGAGGTCCCACAGAATGGGTCCAACACCACTTCCTATAGGGAGCCCACGATGGAAGGAGGTGTTTGTCTCGAGAATGACTAGGGCTGGATGCTCTCGTCTAGCTGGGAGAAGCTGGACTGCCTAGGCTGGGACTGAAGAGGCAGGTCAGGAGGCTGAGCAGAGGCTGGAAATCATGGGGGGCGGCATGCAGGGGCGGTGAGGGGCCAACTGCCATAAGGGCCTGGGCCCCTGTAGGGGAGGGGCTTGAAAATGAGGTGGGTGGTTCAGGAATTCACTCCAAGGGCAAGAGGAGTTCGTTTGTGCTCAGGGCAAGGAGGTTAAGGCTGGTACGGCTGCCCGGGCTGAATCTCACCCACTGTGCCTCAGTGTCCCCAGCTGTGACATGGGTACTGCAGCGGAACGTACTCCCTGGGGCTGCCGGGTCAAGTGAGTTGATGCCGGCATGCCCAGCACGGCCTGGATCGTGGTCTTGTTTTGAGTGGTGTTTGGGATTCTTGATGAGTCTGCCCTAATGCAAGCATGGTGACTTTAGCAAGCTGGCGACCTGAGCCAGCCAACTGGGGCATCCTGGGGAACGCCGAGGCCCAGGAGTACCTGCGCACCACAACACCAAGACAAGCTTGCTGCCGTGAGCTGTGATTGCTCCACTGCACTCCAGCCTGGGCGACAGGGCAAAATCCCCATCTCCAAGTAAATAAATACAACGAATAGAGACTCGCTGGGAAGATGCTCGTCACTGGGTTCTGTGTAACAGGAAAGAAAGACCCCGGCTGGGCGTGGTGGCTCTCGCCTGGAATCCCAGCACTTTGGGAGGCCATTACAGGCGGATCACGATGTCAAGAAATCAAGAACATCCTGGCCAATATGGTGAAACCCCGTCTCCACTAAAAATACAAAAATTAGCTAGGCGTGGTGGCATGCCCCTGTAGTCCCAGCTACTCGGGAGGCTGAGGCAGGAGAATCGCTTGAACCTGGAAGGCAGAGGTTGCAGTGAGCTGACATCAGAGTGGTGACAGAGCGAGACAAGAAAGAAAGAAAAAGAAAAAGGAAGGAAGGAGGGAAGGAAAGAAGAAAGAAAGAAGGAAACAAAGAAGGAAAGAAAGAAGGGAGAGAGGGAGGGAGAAACCCCAAGAAGAGGCCGTTAGTGAAACCAGTGCTGATATTCCTGGGCGTCAGAACACCACCACCAAAAACGGCACTACTGACATGGAAACCTGTCACAATGTTAATTTCTTATTTTCATTTTTTAGAGACAAAATCTCACTCTGTCACCCAGGCTGGAGTGCAGTGGCACCATCCTGGCTCACTGTAGCCTCAAACTTCTGGGCCCAAGCAATCCTCCCGTCTCAGCCTCTCAAATAGGTAGGACTACAGGCACATGCCACTACACCCTGCTAAATTTTTAAAAATTCTTTTTGTAGAGACAGCGTCCCTTTTGGCCGCCCAGGCTGATTGGGAACTCCTGGCCTCAAGCGGTCCCCCTACCTTGGCCTCCCAAAGTGCTAGGATTACAGGCATGAGCCGCTGCACCTGGCATAATACATTAACTTTTAATAGGGTTGGGCGTGGTGGCTTATGCCTGTAATCCCAACACTCTGGGAACCTGAGGCAGGCGGATCGCAAGGTCAGGAGTTTGAGACCAGCCTGGCCAACATGGTGAAACTCCATCTCTACTAAAAATATGAAAATTAGCCAGGCATGGTGGCGGGTTCCTGTAATCCCAGCCATTTGGGAGGCTGAGACATCGCCTGGACCTGGAGGTGGAAATTGCAGTGAGCCAAGATCACACCATTGCACTCCAGCCTGGGTGACGAGGCTCAAACTCCGTCTCAAAAAAATTTAATAGGATCTTACAAAACAATATGTAGAATGTGGCTTCATGCACACACACAATCGCAGGTGTAGGAAGTTAGAAATGGTTCTCTCTAACTGGTAGGATTGTTCGAATTTTCATTTTCTTTTTGTTTATTTGCACATTCTATTGGCATAGGCTGAACACCTGCCTTTTTGAAAAGCTGGGGACTCTGCAGCAGGTGACAGAAGCCAACAGCCATCAGTATGTCTTGACCTGCACCTCAACCAGGCCGTGGCTGGCAGCCTCGGGGGCACCTTGGGGAGGCCCCGCGCAGACTCCATGTAAGGTGCATCCTGCTGGGTCTGGGTCTCCACTTGCCGCCCGGGCCGGCTCCCATGGCCCAATGGCACAGAGCAGCCTCCTTAGTGAATAACTTAAACCTGAACAAAACTGTGACCCAGCACGACTGGCCATTTAGCCAAATGAAAGGGAATCAGTGCATCAAAGAGACACCTGCACCCCCATGGCCAGGCTGGTCTCAGACTCCTGACCTCAGGCGATCCACCTGCCTCCGCCTCCCAAAGTGCTGGGATTACAGGCAAGGGCCACTGCACCTGGCCTAGCTAACAGTAATTTATAGCACACTTTCAGATCGCTAGAATAGAGGATCAAGTGACCCTCCTGCTTCAGCCTCCGGAGTCGCTGGGACGGCAGGTGCACTCCACCAAGCCTGGCTTTACTGTTTTTAACATACAAAATGTTATCTGCGTATGTCTTTACTAGGTTCCTTGGAATGGAGTCTAAGCAGTGACAGGGTGGGGGTTAGGGTTAGGGTTAGGGTTAGGGAGGGAGTGGCTGCATTTGACCTGTCACCCTGGATAAAGAAAGACCTTGATAATCAAGACCAATCTGTATTTTCACCGTTGACAGAGGGGCGGGCTCATCTCTCCTTTTTTTTTTTTTTTTTTTTTTTTAAAGATGGGGTTTCACCATGATGGCCAGGCTGGTCTTGAACTCCTGACCTCAGGTGATCCACCCACCTCGGCCTGCCAAAGTGCTGGGGTTACAGGCATGAGCCACCACACCCGGCCTTCATCTCTCCTTTATCTTTGCCAACTCGGTTGGGGGCTCCCTGTCCTTTGGTTACTTGTGACTTCACTTGATGAACGGGGGGGCCTTCTGTGCCCCCCCCACACTGTTCTGGGTGCTGGAAATGAGGAATGAATGAATTGTGGGCGGCCCCTTCCCTGGGGGAGCGGCATCGAGGAGAGAGTGGGAGGTGCAAAAGGAAGCATCAGCCCGCATGGCCCACCCCTCTCTGGCGTGTGGAAGCAGGTACAGTGTGTCACCTCAGCCTTTAGCATCTCTGCGCATCCCTGAATTTACTAATGGCTGCAAGTTGTCTTCTCCTTCCTGTCTCTCGTCTTCACTTGGTTTGTGGTGTCCTTAATCTACAAAGGTTTTATTGAGGGTGTGTGTGCCCTCTCGTCTTTTTCCGTTTTTTGTTTTTTGAGACTAATTCTGGCTCTGTCGCCCAGGCTGGAGAGCAGTGGCGTGATCTCGGCTCACTGCAGCCTCCGCCTCCTGGGTTCAAGCGATTCTCCCGCCTCAGCCGCCTTAGTGTCTGGGATTACAGGTGCCCGACACCATGCCTGACTAATTTTTGTATTTTCAGTAGAGATGGGGTTTCGCCATATTGGCCAGGCTGGTCTCGAACTCCTGACCTCAGGTGATCTGCCTGCCTCGGCCTCCCAAAGTGCTGGGATTCTAGGTGTGAGCCACCGCGCCCAGCCCCTCCTTGTCTTTTTCCTGTAAGGTTCCTGCTTTTGGCGTTATGCTTTGAAAGGCCTCCCAGCCCAGGATTATATAAATATTTTCATTTGTTTTCGTCTGGCACATTTCCCCCCATTTAAATACTTGATTCCATCTGGAATTTATTTTAGTGTCTGGTATGAGGAAAAGATTTAATTTTTTCCCAAATGATTAACCAAATGTCCTGACATCATTGGATGCATAATTCATTAGCTCTCTGCTAATTTATAATCTACTACATTTTTATATAAACTCCGGCTTGTTTGGGGGCTCTCTGGGAGGCTTTAACGTCTTGCGTGTCTATCTTTGAAACACATTATTTTAGCCTCTAGAACTTCACTGTCTTGTTTATTTTATTTTAGACAGGGTCTCACTCCATAGCCTAGTCTGGAGTGCAGTGGTACGATCACAGGTCATTGTAGCTTTGACCTCCTGGGCTCAAGTGATCCTCCTGCCTCAGCCTCCTGAGTAGCTGGGAGCACAGGCGCACACCACCATGGTGGGCTAATGTTTTATTTATTTATTTTTTTTTGTAGAGACAGGATCTCACCATGTTGCCCAGTTTGGCCTCGAACTTCTGGGCTCAAGCCATCCTCCTGCCTCAAGCTCTCCAAGTGCTGGGATTACAGGTATGTACCACCTGGCCTGGCCAGAGCTTTACTGTATGCTTTAATATTTGGTGGGGCGGTGCTAGGGTGACCTGCCGTCCTGCTGTGTCCAGGGCCCCCTGGGGTTAGCATGGAAAGTCCCTCGTCTTGGGGCCCCTTCAGTCCTGAGCAGACTGGGACAGCTGCTTGCCCTGTGTGAATCTTCCCTTCTAAAACCACTCTTGGCTAGCCCTCCTCATTTATTTTTCGGATAAAATTCCATAAGTGCTTTGTTAATTAAGGAATTGTTTGTTCCTGAGATTCTGATTGGGATGTGCTCTACTTGAATTGCATCTGCAGCTGGAGAGAACGTTGCTGGAAAATGCCCAGCCCAGGCCCTCCCTTTACCCTGGGTGCCCGGCGTGCTCATCCGCCGCTTCAAGTCCTCTTCCTTCTCTTCCAGTAAAAGTTCATTGGCTGGGCACGGTGGCTGACGCCTGTAATCCCAGCACTTTGGGAGGTTGAGGTGGGTGGATCACCTGAGGTCAGGAGTTCGAGACCATCCTGGCCAACATGGTGAAACCCCGCCTCTACTAAAAATACAAAAATTAGGCTGGCGTGGTGGTGCACCCTGTGATCCCAGCTACTCAGGAGGCTGAGGCAGGAGAATCGCTTGAACCCGGGAGGTGGAGGTTGCACTGAGCAACCGAGATTGTGCCACTGCTCTCCAGCCTGGGCGACAGAGCAAGACTCCATCTCAGAAAAAAAAAAAGTTCATTGTTTCCTCCATATCATTCCCGCACCCGTGAATGCAGATGGTGACTCACATATTTTTTTTTTAAGTTGCAGTAACTTTGGTTTCTGGTGCTGCCACTACAGACCTGAATCTGGGGCCGAGAGGGAGCAGCTTCCACCCGCTTTGTCACCTCCCCTCCCTACTCTGCATGGTGCAGAGATGCAGGTGCTACCCCGGAGGCCGGCTGCCCACCAGGCTGAGAATTGTTAGAAAGACTTCAGTCCTCCCCAGAAGAGGCCCCGGCAGGCTAAGGAACTTGCTAAGCGTCCCCCCCAGAAAGGTGGCCTGGCAGTCATGAAGAGGCTCGAGTACCTGAATCCCTGCGAGGCCTCTGTCACCCGCTAGCCAGGGAAGGAATAGGGAGAGGCCGTCCACCTGTCGGTCTACTGCGGCCCTGCCCTGCGGTGGGCCAGATGCTCGCAGGTGCCGAAGGCGATGTGCAGGTGTGCAAGGCCCAGCCCTTAACCTCACGGAGCTTGCTGGCTCGAGGGGGACGGTTGGCTGCGGTCACTCATCCAGCAGGCACGCGGGTGCGGTCTGATAGACCCACCTGCGCCCCGTACACGGGCACTCGCTGGTGCGTCAGCCACGACAGTGGTGGGACTGCCCGTACCTCACTCACTGCTTTCCTTAAAATCCGGGTGTCCTCAGCTTGGGCCAAGTACTGAGCCTCAAACAGGGCGACGTCTTCCTCCAGCCGCTGGGCTCGAGCGGTGAGCTGGTCCACATACAGGTCCTGGGAAACGGGATGAGATGCAGCCCCGTCGAGAGGTGTCGGTGGCTGAGGGCCGGTTCTCCACCAACCCTCGATACAAGTCGACGCCCCCCAGGCCGGCCGCCACCCCTCCGGCCGGGAGCCTTCAGGCGGGCGGCACAGCTGAGCCCCTTTGGAAGCTCAGTGGTCTGGAGATTATTAAACGTGTGCTGAGCTTGCAGAATACCTGCTTTTTCTTCTCGATTTCTGCCCGCACCCTCTCCGCCTCGGCCTTCTTCACCACTTGCTTCATCACGGAGACGTCGTCACGCAGGTCCTGCTCGATGTTTTGCATGTAGAAGAGATGCAGGGCCAAGTTCTCCATCTCAGTCTGCAGAGCTGCCACTGCGCGTGGTGGGGCGGGGGGGAGAGAGAGCGGCAGGCTGTCCCAGCGTCCCCACTCCACGCAGAGACCCAGGAGGAGGCAGGGAACAGTGCTCTGGGCACCCCTCCTGCCATTTTTTTTGAGATGGAGTTTTGCTCTTATTGCCCAGGCTGGAGTGCAGTGGCACGATCTCGGCTCACTGCAACCTCCGCCTCCCAGGTTCAAGCGATTCTCCTGCCTCAGCCTCAAGAGTAGCTGGGATTACAGGTGTGCAACACCATGCCTGGCTAATTTTGTATTTTTAGTAGAGACGGGGTTTCTCCATGTTGGCCAGGCTGGTCTCGAACTCCCAACCTCAAGTGAGCCACCCACCTTGGCCTCCCAAAGTGCTGGGATTTTGGGTAAGACTGGGGAAATGCCTTTAAACTATCAAGACCCAGACTTTGCCAGCAAAGTTTACAATCTCATGGAAGAGACAGAAATATGTGGAATCTACGTCCACAAATTGCAGCAAGCTGTTCCATTGCCCACCACACCTTGCAGATCCGCCCGGTGGTCTAAGGAGTGCTGGCTGGGAAGGCTTCAGGTTGTCTGGGTAGGTTTCTTACCACTGAAAGGCTGGCAACCGCAGGTGGAGTCTCAAGCGCCCCGGAGGAGACCAGGGCATCCAGGGCAGGCTGAGCTCCACCGACGTCCCTGTATTGACACTTCCACATGAGGCCAGAGAGGATGGGGCTGGAAGAGGCAGCACCCTCCATCCCGCCCCGAATTAAGTGACAGATTTATGTCAGTGCTCTCAGAGGAGGTCAAGGCCCGAGGAACTGATTCCTTTATCAAAACTTGCAGGAGATAGATTTATAAAGCCATGGTGCAATTTGCTGAGGAAGCTACACCTGGGCAGCACTCGCTCACTGCACAGAGCTCTCCTTTCCAGTGGCTGGATCTAAACAGAAAACTGAATCACAGGTCAAAAGGCTGCTGGATGCATACCATCCTGGAGGCGGGTGTTCTCGAAGGATAGAGCTTAAACTTGCAAAACCATTTCGGCTGGGTGCGGGGGCTCACACCTGTAACCCCAGCACTTTGGGAGGCTGAGGTGGGTGGATCACTTGAGGCCAGGAGTTCAAGACCTGCCTGGCCAACATGGTGAAACCCTGTCTCTACTCAAAATATAAAAATTAACCGGGCGTGGTGGCACACGCCCGTAATCCCAGCTACGCAGGAGGCTGAGGGGTGAGGATTGCTTGAACCTGGGAGGCAGAGGTTGTAGTGAGATGAGATCACACCACTGCACTCCAGCCTGAGACTCTGACTCAAAAAAAAAA